AGCGTATGGTAACAGAAGAGCAAAGAAAGAAAAAAAATCCTTCACCTCCAACCAGGACCTTTCTCATACATGGAAAACGTCATAACCACTTGCACACAAAGACATTGTTGTGATTCAAGCGCCAGGTAGAGTTTCTTTCATTCGTTTAAGGTGTCAGACTCACGACTTTGATATAGCGCTAATATCGCACTGACTATTAGACTGCCAAACCTATAAGATACGCCCTCTTCTATGCATTATTTTCGACTTGCTGGTTCTTTCAAGTCTAAAAACGGAGCCCACAAATGCTATGAAAATAATTTTTAAGCTCTATGATCACTGCTGATCATTTTTTTTTAATGAAGCTTACTGGTTAGTGGATAAGTTTATTCCGTTTCAGATGCTACAAGGTTATTTGTAAGGTGTTTTGTTTTGCGTGTTTGTGCTATTGAAAATCCTTCTTTAATAACTACGTATCTATGATCGAATGATGTAATCATCTCCTTTTTAAGCCTTCGCCTGGCATTGATTTTTTTTGGCATTTTTAAGTTTACATTTAAATTATTTTACTTTGGCCCATTTTTTGGTCAAAACAATAACTTTAAGCTCATTTTTAGTGAAAAAGGCTAATTTTTCAAGAGACTTTTGTTTTATTCTTCATTTTTATTTTGAATAAATATGTTCGGTTTTTTTATATATATATATTTTTGTGTTCGTACAGAACACAACCGAAGGCAGTGGAGCCTCTTGTTGTTGTTGTTGTTGTTGTTTTGTTGTTGTTTTTGTTATTATTATTATTATTATTATTATTATTATTATTATTGCTCACTAATATCAACAGTGTACAAGGTAAAATTCAAGAATCAATATAGACAAGGTTCACCATCTAATTGTGATCATAACAATGTTTATTCTTTTTTTCCTCTTTGATATAATTGTTTGAATAAATGTATGTACCATCGTTGAATAAATTTGAAGTTGAATATTATAATTATTATTATTATTATTATTATTATTATTATTATTATTATTATTATTATTATTATTATTATCATCATTATTATTTTTATTATTATTATTTTTTTATTANNTATTATTATTATTATTATTATTATTATTATTATTATTATTATTATTATTATTATTATTATTGCTCCTTAATATCAACAGTGTACAAGGTAAAATTCAAGGATCAATATAAGGCAAGGCTTACCTTCTAATTGTGATCATAACAATGTTTATTCTTTCTTTCCTCTTTGACATAATTGTTTTAATAAATGTATGTATTACCATCGCTGAATAAATTTGTTAAAGTTAAAGTGAAAAAACAAGTAAATAATTTTAAACCCAACACCTATATACATATCATTAAGTATTCTTCTTTAATACAATACAGTCAGTGGGCCTGCATACTTCAACAGCGAAAGAACACAAATAAACATAATGTATAATGATAGCAATAATCATTTATTCCAACTTATTTAAATTAGTCTTGCTCAGTGATTACAATCAACTAAGTTTCATTAAATAACTTTTTTTTACGACGAGTGGCAAATATGTTGAAAGAAAGAAAGAAGGTATTGCATTGACGGGGTTTTAATCATTTTTAATCGATAGACGCTTTGTTTTTTAGTCTAGATACAGTAGGTGAACAAAATCTTAGTCTAAAATTAAACGGTTTCAATTATTTGCTTTAAATTCAAATTTTGACATTCACCACATCGTCGTAAACGAAAATGATTCTAATCTTGGAATTAATCTCTAGTTGTCCGGGTAAAATAAATAATTGACAACGATAAGTAGCATATTGTTTAGAAAAATAAATTATATTTCTTGTATTATTTGAAAATATAGAATATCATATCATAATATACATAAGTAGGCCTACATTCATAGTTTCGCAGCATTAAACATTTTAAAATTAGAAAATAGTTTCTAATTGTGAAAAATACAAAATAATCCCACTAGTAGTTTCAACTGTACATGTAGTATATGTCAGAAGGTCAGTGCATGAGCAAACAGGTTGTTTTGCATGGAGCGCATGTTGATCAGATATTACTTTTATAATTATAATTTTAATTAACAACTGAATGCTGGTTACAGTGTTCCTATTATGGTAAAAATAATCAATGTTAAATATAAATACGAAAGGCTTGTCATACTGTCAACTATTAATCATTAAATGTGGCTGTCCCATTTGTTCACCTGATACATATTTTGGATTAATTGAATTCTGGAGCGTCGTGCATGTCCTACACAACAGGATCTCAGAGTGTTAATAATTAATATTCAATCATACATTATATTTTGGTTGCGCGACAACATGGGCGTAGGTTGGGGGTGTAGAGCCCACAAATGTAAAAATCTACCACAACTGTAAAAATAACCGCAAATGTAAAAACATTGTACCCACAAATGTCATAATAACCGCAAATGTCATAACATGTTAATCACAAATGTAAAAATAACCACATATGTAACAACTTAGCCCACAAGTGTAAAAAATCTCTTTACCCAAAAATGTAAAAATATCTCGCCTACAAATGTAAAATATCCCATTTTTACCTCAAATGTCAATGTAAATTAAACATTGAAACATTGTACCCATTTCATTTTGTTATACTTCTGTGTATGCAATCAATGCATTTTCACATTTGCGGTTGACATATTATGACATTTGAGGTAAAACTGGAAATTACTTTTTTTTACAATTATGGTTATTTTTACATTTTTAATTGACACGTTATGACGTTTTTGGATATTTTGACATTTTTGGGTACAATGTTTTTACATTTGTAGGTATTTTTACATTTTGTGGTGGATTTTTACATTTGTGGGCTGTACAGGCGGTGCGGGGATGGCAGCAAGTTAGTTCCACTAAGTTAAAATACTAAAAATGTTCTCATTGATTTAGTTCTGCATTCTCATTTTTGCACCCCTACCCCACCCACGCCGAAACCAGCCTACGCCCCTGCGGCAATGCGATCTTCAAACTGAATTATAAGTCCTCAGTAATACTAGGTTCGACCCAAACCGGACCAGGACTTAGTTCATCCAACAACCAGAACTTAACGATAACGTATGCGCAGATGACTTCGTGGCGTCTTACGTCATTGATCTTCCATTGATTATTGGCAATAGATTATCAGACTTTGAAAAAAAAAAAAAAAAAAAAAACCTTCAGCCACAGTAGATTTCTAAAATTTCATTAAATATTCATTAGATATCAAAAGTTATTTATCAAGTTCGTTAAAATGCACCTCTGAGTGAACAGCGATGTTTACGATTACAAACAATGATGGCTTATGGGAAAATATTTTCATAATTTGCTTCATAGATTAACAGAAGTGTTTTATGACATGACATCATGCGAATATGTGTACTGCCATGTGTTTTTAAAAAATGTTGAAAAAAAACCATACTATTTCCTTACATTACATATTCGATGAACTAATAGGACGTGTAGAATTTACATATTCAAAACCGGCATCATTCATGGGTACGGAGCTTCTCTTACAA